CATGTCGTGTCTTTCCAAAGCATGTATATGGAGCAGGATAAAATGAAAGCAATGGAGGATTGGCCAACCTCCAAAGTTGCTTCTAAAATTTATTCATTTTTAGGCCTTGCTAGATATTATTTCCTTTTTGTTTGATAATTTATACACATTGTTGCCTCACTAACAAGTCTATTGAAAAAAAATTCCCTATTTGAATAGAATTAGAGTAGAAAAGTACTTTTAATAAGTTAAAAGAGATACTCATTATTACCTCAATATTACAATTACATGATCCTAACCTTTCTTATACACTTAACATTGATGCTTGTGACTTTGCTATTAATATGGTCTTTCAACAAGACTTAGGTGGGAACCTTCAATCTGTGGCATATGAATTGTGTAAGCTAAAAAAGATAGAGCACAATTACTCTATACATGATCTAGAGCAACTAGCAATTATACATACAACAAAGATATGGCAATATTATCTATTGAAAAAACAAGTGATTGTTTAGACTAACCATCAGCCTTTGCTATATGATTTGTATCTAAAAAATATAAAATCTTAATATCATCATTAGGAGGAATAATTGTAGTCTTTTGACATTCAACTTAAATACAAGCTAGGACAACAATATACTATGTTAGACATCTTATTCTACAGATCAAACTTAAAACCCAAATCAAAGCACAAGATAGAAGTTACTACCATTAGTAGTATCAATTCAAATCTAATCAAAGGAGCAAAATAGAAAGAAAGTACGCATTGGAATGTTTATTTGAAAATCATTACTAATCAGATAAAAGCAGATGATGTATAATATCAAGATTACTATCTTAGTGATGTATTGTTCTACTTCAAGAAGTAGATTTATATACCTAATAATGTTATATTCCAGATACACATATTTCAAGAGGGATATAACATTCCAATATTTGGATATCTAAGGCATGAGAAGACTCTAGAATAGATGTCAAGAATATGGTTTTGGACAAGTCCAAATCATAATATTTAAGCTTTTGTATGCTCTTGTGAGTCATACTAATGTAACAAAGCATAAAACATAGCATCTCTAGAATTATTGTAGCTAATTCCACTACCTAAGGCACATTAGGAGTAGGTGACTATAAATCTTATTATGTGTTTGTTGAGGCACCTCATAATTATACTGTAGTTGCTATCTTTGTGGACTAACTTTTGAAGAAAATTCATTTAGTTGTGATGCACTCAAATATTGATGCTTTAACATTTGCAGGGATCTTCTTTGACATTATTTTTTGTCACCATAAATTACCTTGTGTAATCATTTCAGATCAAGATCCACACTTTATGAGAAGTTTTTGACAGACTTTGTTTAAGCTATTAGGGACATGAGTTGCCATATCCACCGCCTTCTATCTCCAAATAAATAGACAAATACAACATGTAAATCAAAACTTAGAAGATATACTATGTGTAATTATGAAAATACATCATGATGATTAGAATGAATGTTTAAGGCTCTTAGAATTTGCTTACAATGATAGTATTTAAGCAAGTACCAATCATTTATCATTCTTCTTTAATATTAATCAGTATCCAATTATGCCAACAACTCTCTATCATTTTATTGGTACCAATAATTTGACAACAAAAGAATTTATACAATGGCTTATAATGGCCTTATAAGAAGCATGGCATAGCTTCTTTATTATTCAAAATAGACAAAAATAATATGTGGATAACCACCAATAATACAATCCTTTTGGGAAGATAATCAAGTATTACTATCAAATGCCAACTTGCCACTTATTACATCAACCCAAATTTGTAAGCTGACACTTTGGTGGCTTAGATCTTTTTATATTTTTGTAATGATTTTTGATGTTGCATACTGCCTTGAGCTTCTACCACATATTTGAATCTACCTAGTGTCATATTATGTGTTGTCTTCTTTAAAAATGTATCGGGCATATAATTGTGGAAGGTAAGGTTGTGTTTTACAAGTATCCAAGAAATCCTATTTAGTGAAAGGAGATTTAGATTTGAGATTAGAGTTAGGAATTGGATACATCCTAGTACAAGAAATAAATTAATCTATTAATTGTACCTTGCCATTGGGCTGTCCTTTATATTTGATTCATTTGAGACAACATTATGCCTTTTTGTAACCTACTTGTCATCAAAGATCCCATGTTTTCTTGAAAGGGCTTGTCTTCTTGATAGTATACATATAAAAAACTTACCTTACAAGTTAAGACATATGTCTAGCAAAGTTAATAAGTATTAGAGGTCTTATAGAATATCACTATGTAGGTCTTAATTAGATAGTATATATGGAGGCAAGAGTGAAGCCTTCTTCATTGTTATTAATGTCTTTTTAGTCCTTAGTTTTGTTTGAAGACTTTCTAATCTTCTTATATTTTGCAATAACCATTTTATTTAATATTATATCATCTTTGCATAATTATCTAGTCTTTTTGAGTGATACAAGAGTGTATTGACTTTTTAGTTCTTTGAGGTTTATATTCTTGATAATAACTTATAAATTGCATTAAAAAATGATACACATCTAACATAAATTCTTAGCAGCAGCAAGTTGTAGTATGCAAGAGTATTATAACTTTATTCTAGGAAAAGAAAGAGGGATCAAAATTATAGCAAAAAATACACAACATCATATCATTGCTCCTTATTCTTTAAATAGGGTATTATTGGAGCATCCTACAAATGACTCATTTATTAAACTTTTATAGCTTAAAGAAATGCTACTAAATTGATATTGTCATTATTATTGTTGTCATTGGCATTGTCAATATTATTGAGCTTCTTCTATGATAATAATAAATCATTGATATTTTATGGTGTTATAGCCACGATAAAGCTCACAAGCTCCAAAATCAATGTTGTTTTATACATGCCTACTTCTCCCCCTTCCCTCCCTTTCTTCTCTCTTTTCTATTTCTTCCCTCTTCACTTTTGGTCTCAAAACTCTATCTCTTGTGCTTATTTTATCTACCCTATGTTGTATCACATCACTCATTGTTGACTCACCTCCATCTCCCGCATCTTATAGATAAAGGACCATAAAATTTTGAAAAAATATAAAAAAAACAACAAACAATATTAAATTTTATAAAGAATAAGCATTTTAATATGCAAAAAGAATAACTCTTGCTTAGATTAATTTTCTTCTAATGAAAATAAAAAATTAAATAATTTTTTATAACTTAAAGTATAATCAAAAATTTACATATATACATACATATCATATTTAATTATAGTTAAATTATATCATTTGAATATATTTAATTATATTCAAATGATATATAAATAAATCATATTTTATATTAAAAAAAATTAGATTATAAATAAATATATATATAATTAAAATAATAATTATACTAAAAACTAAAATAATATTTTAATTTAAATAAGTTTTAAGTTTTTATTAATAGAATATTAATTTTATTTATTTTATTAAAATTACTATTGCAAATCATTTTTTGATGTAATTATACTTATATATTCTTTTTTATAGTAAAATAATTTTAAATTCTATTTTAAAATATCTAAATTTATAATATTTTTCTAATTTAATAAAAAGTTAAAAATCAAAAAGCATAAATATTTTATGGTGTGATTTTATATTTGATTTACTAAAATACCTATTATTAGTTTTAATATTTTAATTTTATGTATTAAATAAAAAAAAGTATGAGATCTTATTTCTTTTATTATTATTTATTTATTTATAAAAAGATCTACAAAATAAATCTTTCTCAGAATCATATTAGGAAAGAACATCAATATTAAGTTATGCATTATATTTTATTATTTTTGGCTGGATATATTCTGTGTCATGGTGATTTATTAAATGTAGATTTTTTCAAGGTTGAGAATTTTGTTAAGCCATATTTTGTTAATATTATCACAATAGAAGTAAATTTTAGAGGACTTTGATCATTCAATTCAAAAGAAAGTTTATAATGGGTATTTACAATTTAACATAAACATGAATGTAGATTGATGAAATTAGTATATATTTGTGCGACAAATAATCTGTATGTATAATTATGGGAAAATAAACTCATAAAAACATAACGTAACAAATTTTTCATAGTATTGAAGGAATTTTCGAAAACCTTTGAGAAAAAAAAAATAAATAAAAAAATTTAAAAAATCATATTTATTTTTGAAAAGTCGTTGTATTTACAAATATTAGAAGCTTTAGTGTTTCTAAATTTCATTTTACATTCAAAAAGAATAAGTGATAAGTACTCTTCTTTTATACATACATTTACATACACACAAATGTTGACTTTTTCTTTTTCTTTTTTTTTTCAACATCTTCAAAACAAAACTAAGGAACTTCTAGCTGGATATTGAAATGAAAGGAAGTCATTTTAACTCGTGGTTTGTAAGTTATTATCATTTTAATCTGTTCTATGTTATTTAATTGTAACAACTGATGTGCAGTATTTACTTAAGTACAAAACTGTCTCATTTAGATTTTTGTAGGTATTATGGTAATGGTTCAAAAGACATATCGGTCACAATAATTAAATTTGATATCTTAGAAGCAGTAAATTTCCAAGAGATTTTCTTATTATTTAGCATAGATTTATTCGGAACGTGTTAAATCCTTTTTAGACCGGTTTCTTATGTTTGAAGATATTACACAGTTTTTATGCTTTTATAAAAAAATAGATGAAGGGAAAACATGTTTAAATCAAATCTAAGAATCAAATGTGAAATGAAACATCAGTAAAACCAACAGATTAGAAAAACGAAGGTATTGGATTAGGACCAAATAAATGTGCTTATAAAACACTAATGGGAATATTGTGTTCTTTTTACATATATAATCCATAGTTTGTTCAATAATTTTTAATATAGACATTAAATAGATTTTTTTAATCAAAACTCTTTAAGATTATGTTAAACCTTTAATGTTCATAATATTTTTAGAGCGACAATCTACATTTCATGAAGTCTTGTTGACCATATCCTTAAGTTATTAATGCATTATCCCAAGAAATTAGTCAACATTTTTCCCTTTTTACGTTTGTATTTGACATGAAAATTTACAATCGGAAAAGAAGGGAAGTAAAGGAAATAGAAAAAACTGAAATCAGTTGTACAAATAGAGCTAATGATTCTACTACATAATTTTGCACGTACGTTTTATGTGTGATATGAAGCTTTTTCTTGGAGTATCATGTTCATACCCCACAGATTCTGATGTAACGGCACCATCCAATTTGTAGGCACTACCCAAGATTAACGCACCAAAATACTTCAACTATGAATCGTTCTGTATGAGACAGATATTTAAACTGAATTTTATAACCCCTAATCTATAATCGAAAAAATATTAAAAAAAAAAGTAGATCTTCATGGAGAGAAGAACCTTGAGGACTTGATATTAAGATGCAACAGCGTCATTTGCCGCTCAACATAATTCATGTGGCATGTAATTGTGTTGAACAGCTTAGCTGATTCAAGTTCAAAATGTGTGGTAAAGAGCTGCAGTAAGCATCACCGCCATTGACGCTGCAAAAAGAGCCACAACACCAGCTGGGTTTCCCTCTTTTTTCACTAGACATCTTTCACCTGGCAACAAATTACATGAGAGGAAATGTGGTAAGCGGTAGAGGACGACGACACCCACAATTGGAAACCATAGAGATTTCTTGTATGATAGTTACAGATCTGGAGCACTCGAAACAGCCAAAATGTAATGACCATCTATGCAGCATTTCCAACAGTTGCAAACAACACACCCGGTGTTTCCTTTCACAAGCATATTGTAAACAACTTTCAAGTATTGAGCAAGTGTAGAGAGCTGACCTGTCCAGACCATTACTCCTAAAGATGCCCCGAGCCCGAGAATGTAGGCATCTATGCCTGTCCGCCTGCATGCAAAGCACCACAATCGCTGTCTAAGATACTTAAGCTACTGGTAATTAAATGCAGTTTTCTTGTGGTGGTCTGCAAAAAATGGTTCATAAATTAAGAAGCAAAAGAGCAAATATTTGAGGCACTAAGTATTGAGTCACAGACAAAGGGAGAGAGACTTACGTATTGAGGCGGAATGCTGAAACAGCCAGAAGACCAAAAAGTCCAAGACCTGTTCGCAAAAACTCGAAGTCCAGATTGTCATCTTTTACCCAGACAGCAATACAATAGCCTAAATGAAAAGCTGCAAATGCAAGGGTCAGCATTGGCAGCAAAAATACGTGATAATCGCCATCGTCATCACCTCCACCACCACCACCGTTGCCACCATCGTCACCTCCGTTCCCATTTCCGGGAGGTCCGCCTGTGCAATGCAATTAGCTATAAGTCAGCATTACTGTAACAATAGGTTTGTCATGCGTTCGAGTCCAACAAGTCATCCAGAGAAACAGAAGGGGAAGCCAGAAGCTTGAAATGTGGATGGATTTTGTGCAATACTGATGCTTAATATAAGAAGGCATCCGCATCGCTAGCTATTTACAGACTGCGCATTGAAGGGTCAGAGGTTGAAATATAAACCAATCATAAAAACATCTCTCTATGAACTTGGCTACAGAAATCAGAAATAAAAACTCCACCAAAAAGATGTCGAAACCGTATCTTTACCTGTGCTCTCTTTTGTTTTTGCCTCGTTCTTGTTTCCAAAACCATTCATCATCTCTACAGCCCATGGGCTATATCGTATCTCAAGATTAGTGCGCACATTCATATCACTCCAATTCCGCTCCACCAAGTACTCTGGTAACGGAGCGTCGTCATCTCTAAAGCAGACTACCGGATAAGTTGTGGCCATCGTCAAGGTATCCGTGGTCCACTCAGTGGAAAGGCGAGGCACCAACATATCTTCCCATGCTGTTCGTGGCAAAAAGGGAGAGATTGCAGAACTAGAGAAAACTTTTGCCTTCGACCGAGAAAGCTGGAAACACAATTGGCTGCTTTGGCACCAAAAAGCACCAACATGTTGCGCCATAGATTCGGACCTTCTGGGCCACCCCAATGATATTTGGAAATTGCACAAGCTTGGGAATATCGAAGTCCAGGTTTTGAACTGTTATTATCAGGTGTTTCTGATAAAACAATTCAAAAAGTTCAGGCTATTGGAAAATCCAATCATACAGGAAAGATCCAGCCGTCCTGTGATATGTGGCCATTACAGGTCGTTGGATACAAACGATCATATATGCCACAAAAACTGATAATCAGATCAATCATATGCCTGCGAATAAATAGCAACAATCAGACGGGAGTCAAATATGATTATGCATTCATGTGCTGATGTGACAATCGATAGTTCAGGTTCTAGGTGTTTTTTAAATTGAGCCTAAAATCCAAATATATCAGGAAAAGAAAACGCAAACGTTCATTGTCACTTGTGAGCCATTGCTGGGTAATGACTCAACATGACAACCAAAACTCTAAACGTTCATTCAAATGTATGAAAAATAGAAAAAACTAAAGATTTTCGGCTCGAGTGATTGATAATACTTGGAAAAGATGAAATAGTCCTGCTTACCACGACGATCGGCGACACTCTCTGGCACACAGATACCATGATGATGCAGCTATTGCAGTTGATGCATCAACTAACCACGCTGAAGACCTCCTTGCTTAAATCACACAAATGATCTCGCAATGCATCACTCCCAAATTGGCTATAAACACAACAAGCTCTACCCGTTACTTCACCGAGCAAGTGTTGAAAGCAAAAGGTCCAGATTCAAACACCTGAGCACAACTGAATTCAACAACAGATCACTTGCGAAATGAACCTAAAAGGTAGACATGACAACACAATCTCAATAGCCACACTTGTGCTCTGAAACCAGGTGTTCCATAGATGCTTGGTTTCAAGCAAATCAGTGAAACCAAGCTTCAGGCAATCCTGGAATTGAATCCTTCTCAACCGCATGTGTCACTTGCTTCCGCTTCTAATAGCAAAGATGAACAGAATGTCCTGTGGTTCGCAGTGACAAGAGAACCTGGAAAAGATTTCCCCCAGAATTTGCTACTTTCCCGACGACATAGTACAGACGATGGCAAAACAAATCACCGAAGTATCAAACCACACCAAACCAAACACAGAGTGCACTAAAGAACAAAAACGCAACAAGCAATTAGTAGTGGACTCGTCTACTGTGTGACCCAACATCTCCAATCCCCACTCAAGAGACCTGCAGATGTGGGACAAAATTGCATACAACCTACTGAACGTGCCAAATATTTCTAGTAGCGGTGAATAATCACCCAACTACTAGTCGAATCAAGAAACAAATGACTCGATCAAGTACTCGTTTAATTTTTCTATTTCAGGTATTTGCAATGTTCTCATGAAGCTAATGTTTGCAATGAAATGCGAATTTTCGGAACCTCTCACAGAAGAAACTAAATTGAACCTTTCATTCACAAATCATCAGCTCCGAGTCACTGCAAATTATCGCAGAATCCCACATTCTTAGAATTCCATGCAATGAAATGCGAACTACGAAGGTGACTTGCCCTCAACCAACATATCTGCGGAGCGACCCACTCACAGCATAATAGGTGACAGATTCCTTAAATGCTGACAAACCGTGTGTCAACAACACAAAGCTTTGCTGCTTCTCTCTCAGTACCCTGGTCTCCAGATGCAAAATTTTGAAGCATAGCGGAAGAACTCGTGGAGGAAAATCATTCCGATAACACACAATACAAAGCATCAACTATTGCACCGGAAGACTCCTTTGAGCTGCATATCCACAAATCAAATCCATGACTATGCAACCTGCACTAAGAGTCAAGCTTGTGTACATTGCAATTGGCCGCCCAAATCTAGCAACCAGCATGGACCCAGGTCGACATGAACTCAGGCCAACACGCGAAACCTAGCGCAATCCTCAAAAGCGTGGACATAGCAACAGCTGGGTCCAATTCGAGCGAGACAGTTTCGTCAAGCGTGCTGAAATGAGTATTGAGTTGCTGAATCCACCACAACCAATACCTCAAACTGAAGATATTTTGGCGGTATACGTGTGCAAATGAAGCTGGACGTGTGGCATTGTAGACCGGTTCCCGTGCAGCTTGGAAGGATCATGTCGCTTCCATTACCTGCTTCATATTCTTCATCTTCTTCTGCTTCTTCTTCTTCCTCAAAGTCTGCACATGAGCGGCGGGGGGCAGAGTCTACCGCCCGGTGCTTCACCTGGTGACGTCAAGGTGCATTAAAAGCAACGTCTCAGGACGACCATTCTTCTGCTGTGGATTTTCCCCGCGTCCCTTGATTCACTGCGAAGATGAATCAGTAACTTTTCTTTAGAGTTGAAATCTGCAAAAAGTAGTTTTCGAATCCGGTATCGAGGGCTCTGGAGACGATGGCGAGACCTAGAGCCTGAGGTCCAGGCTTCGGCGATTGTGGCGTCATTCGCAATTGGGTGCGAATGACGCCACGATTCGCAACATTGTGATCGTTACTTTTGTCATGTTGGGTATCGTAAACGTGGGATTTCGGTGTTTTTGATAACGGAGTAACACGAGGTGAAGAGATATTTTGAAGCATGCGCTGGATTTCTGGATAGGCACTTTCAACATGTTTCTCGATGCTTCCTCTCACTCATATGGGGTTTCTGTAGGCACTTGAGGGTTAGAAGTGGGTCGTCTGGAGAGCAAGCCAAGCATGTATGGTAGCGTGTTTAATGACTACTCCCAATAGCCATAAGTCTTGTGTGACGTTATTGAAATGACAAGTGCAACGCCGATGATTGTTGAGTCAGAGTGTGGGAGGCTTGCACTCCTTCACACAAGTTGTCAAGCCAGAAGTACCATTGCGCAAGGACAAACACGGTTGGGATGGTAATTTGAACAAGCAATATGGAGCCTTGAAGTCCTCATTGTAAGGACCCCCTGTACACCTCAAAATGATCATGAGTACACGAATCTCGAAGATAAGCTCGCACGCTAAGGACAAAAGCCACGGCAATATCCTTGGGCTGCATTAAGTCCCAAAACGGTTACAACCAGTGGGTAGACATCGGTGAATAGAGCTGAATACATCCTACACCTATAAATATCCAATCCATATGTGCCAGGCAAGAGAAGTTGTGATCGTCTAAATTTAGAGAAGTAACACCCAGACCCAGAGCTGAAGTACTAATCCCTGGTTCTAACTAACCACTGATTTTTCGTGATTTTAGGGAGGCTGAAACAACAATCACATCCAAAAAATTGTGAACCCTCTAAAGCCAATTCAACAAGTTGCTCAAACCTTCAACTGTGAGCATCATTCATCTTCATTACCCCGCAGTTGCAATACTTCCATGCTTCCATGCATTAAGAGCTACAAGAAGACGTTGATGAACCTTTAAGATGGGCCAACTGACCGTTTTGCAAGATTTTGCAAAATCCATCTTTAGTCCACCTGTTTGAAGTTGAAAATATCTAATGAGCAGGTGCCTTTCAACTTGTGTATCTACTTAAGTGTAATATGGTTACCATGAAGCCATACTCGACCTGATGTAGCCATATCTACCTTCCACATCACTCTATTTGTACCTGTTCTGTACATGAGTTCTTGCTGGGCTATGGACAGCTCACTTCTACAGTAGGTTCATTTAATGTACAGACTGGATTACTAGTCAATAAGGCTCCTTCTTTCGGGAGGAGTGGTAGGAACGCAGAAATCATCATCAGCGTCTCCTGTGTCGTCATCGTAATCAACGTCACTTGAATTATCCTCCCAAGTTGTTGTTCCTCTCGGATGTGGAACTTCATCCTCAGACTGACCTCCTGTAAGAACATGAAAGTAACAAGTGCTCACTAATACTTAAATATCACGTAGAAGAAAAAGACGCTAACCCTCATTACTAACAGAAGAATTCAAAGCAGATTTAACACCAAACACCCAGTCATTTTTACACATTGCAAATACAGACAATGGTATTTACGTCGGGTCCCAGGCTGAATATACTGCTCTATTCATGTGGGAGCCCCATGCCAAGCTTAGCTTACACACCTGGCACATTCCGTTGGAACGTGTGTCTTGGAGGCTCCTGCCAACTTGCACCCCCGCGGCCTAAAACCTCCGGTTCCCTCAAGGGCCTTAGACCTGCTTCAGGAAACACTTGAATAGGCGATGCATCAGGTGACGAATCACGCTCTAAAAGTTTTCTGAGTCTTTTTCTTCTTGCGCTTGCAGGCTCGTGTCTATGCAAAGTGGGAATTTCTTCACTGGCATCCCCGGTGTCTGGTAGATTTCGACGTTCATCCTCACTGTCCAGTAGGTTATGTCGAGCATCCTCACTATCCGGTAGATTACGATGTTCATCCTCACTGTCTAGTAGGTTATGTCGAGCATCCTCACTGTCCTGTGGATTTTGACGTGCATCTTCGCTGTCCTGGAAATTCTGCGGTGCATGAGGTGCTGGTGTGGGCTGATTGATGCTTGTTCTTCGCTCAGAAACACTTGCTCTTCTTTCACTGCCTGCAGGTATTCAATACATTTATGTTAGTCATGCTGGAATATTTTCCACGTGGAACAATGAATTTATAATAAAACAAAGCATTAAATTCGGCATCTCCCTGTATCTGCAGAGATGATAAAATTGCGAAAATAACACTGGGCCGGTACATGTCATCTCGAGCCATTGCGGTAAAAGTTAAGAGGATTTGCGGACCGGAAAAAATGTAAACAGAGAGTTTGTTCACAGATCTTGTTCACACACAATACCTGCATATAGAAGAAAAATGTGATCATACTTATGACGTCTCCATACAATCAAGTGGAAGGAATCAATGCTTTTATTTCCTACGGATTGAATTACATGATAATGCAACTTAAGAGGAATAATTTACAAACCTGATAAGTCAGACCAGATGGCTGTCTCATCTGACCTATGAGCAGATCCTGGTGTCATAGTGCCTCTTCGAGCGGAATCATTTGATATGGCGCCGCCTTGAGATCCTTCTCTTGGACTAGGACCTGCACTATTCTGATTAGCTGCATCAAGAGCTTGACCAGTGCTCTCATCTCCCCCATGTAACTGCGAACTCATCATCGTAGCAAGAACTAAAGTTGCATCAAAATCGCTATGTGCTGAATCGTCCAAGCCAAATCTTGGTGCAAGGAGCACAGGTCTGTTCAATGACACCAACAAAAGCTCAGACACAATATAATATAGCAGGAAAATCACCTATAAAGTTTCCGCAAGCAACATATAAATTGGCATAATATGGAAAATACGTTAGGCCAATATAAATTTAAAAGTTCAATACTTCATTTCTTGTGAAAATTGAAAGTTATATAACAATATTCGCGTTAGATCGTGTAAAAAGCTTAATAATGGAGGTTAATTGTGTAACTAATAACCAGTTAAGCATCAGGGATACAATGCATGAGTCATAGCAGTCATACTTGCCAGCCTTGTCAAAGTACATGTGCATATCTGCTTCTGCTCCTTCACAGAACGCCATGAACGCCTGCAGGAGCAAATAAGATCTATCCAATGAGCAAAACTCGATATTACTCGATCGATCAAACCGAGATATCAAGAAGGAAACTTGGATGTGGTACTTCCATCAAGATTGCAAATGAATGTTACACTTCAGCAACACTCGAACAAGCAACTGTGAGCGGATTGAACAGATACTTCCTAAGAATGAAACTAGATGTTGAAAATGAAAAAAACCCTAATATGAACTCAAAAGAAATTGAAAATATCGACTTTTGCCTTCAGTTCTTTAACGCTGAAAGTCACATCCACCGGTGGTCCTTTATGGGTATAAGCTGACAATTCCTCAGAGGGGTCAATCCAAAGCTGAGTATGAAGAGCTCCATCTGTCACGTCTGCACTTCCAGAACAAGCCATATATGTAAGACTCTGTTCATGATGATCATAACAGAAATAAGACATTCAGTACACAACGCCACATTTTAACAAACCTCATGACATAATCTTCCTCAAACATCAACATATCATATCCTGTATGAAATAGGTGTACTCAAATATGACGGATGTTGCTGTCATATGACAAGTACTTTCTAAGTCAAACTTCAATTACTCAAATATAAAACGTTAGCAGCTCTCTATGCCCGATTGACGGATGATAACAATACACTAAAATTACCAGATTATGCGAGTAAAATGAACGGAATTTCAAGACGTTGAGTGATCACCCTGTGTAGGAAGGAGAGAGATAGAATGAAGTAACTGCACCTCTTGCGGGATCAATGTAGCTCTTCAATTCAATAGCTTTCGCTTCACTGTCGAGATCCATGTCAGTGGATATGGGCTCCGTTGCAATCAACGTAATCTCGTGGAGAGAAGATTGAAAATGACCCAAAAGTCTGCTGAGGTCTCTGGGTTTAATGACCAGGTGGCTAGGGAACGAGTTCCTCTCCACCAACACATTTTGCATTTCAGTGTTATTATTACAGGTGATCCAGTATGTTTTCCTAATTCCTGCACATCACCAGTACAATACGCGATAAATTAGATGCTCCATAAACACAAAAAAGCCGAAACATAATTGCCAAGCGTATGCAGTACAACTGCATCATAACTCCACAGTTGTCCACATTAGCAGCTACAAATTTCATGCACACATTTTGAAGCCACTCAATGCATGTGAAGGATCAAGTTCCCTCGTCACAATCTTTAAGCGAATATCTTGCAGCTAGATTGCCTATAATCCAACGGATAATCCTGTATTGGTGGTGCGAATTCTTTTTGAAAAATCATAAATTAATAGAATAATAATGAACTCAAATTTTCAAAATAAAGAAAGAAACTTTTAGAGCAATTATTACACATTGCATCCAAGTGCACTCCAGCGACAATGGCTGTTTCATTATCCATTCCACTATCGTGGTTTAACTCATGCTGAAAAATGTGCACCTTGATGATACATGGGACTTTAAGAAGACCGCTACAGATTAATAGAGTTGTTGAAAAATGAGATACACCTCATCTTCATGATGCACGAATATTGACGACATAAGCATGAAGGTAAGTCCAACGTCGTAAAATGCTGGCCAAAACGCCTAACGCAGACCAAGAGTAAAGATAGAAGCAAACAAATTACCATTTGCACACTGGATATTCCATTGAAGTTTGTTAGCATCCTTATCTGCTAAGATAATTGTCAAATTCTCCATGGCGCCAGGCGGTGTCCGGAACACCGTGCACACAGACTACAAAAGAAAAAATTGCCCCATAATGTTACCGTGCTGTGCGTTGTATTTCAGAAACTTCCAACGTATCAAGAATACTTCGAAAAAATAAAATAAAAAAACTTCCAGAAGGCTGAAAAAAGGTTGCTCAAAAATCTCTGATGCCAAAAACCGGTACGGTTTGTTCCACAAATTATTAAAATTTAAAAAATTTAAAAAAGGGGGGGGGGGGTCACCTTCAGCAAAACACTGCAGGCAGCCGGTGTGTGCACATGGAATGCGTCGAAGAATTGCCCCTTGAAACTGACCGAAAGAAAAGCGGACCATGCTGAATTAAGCGTGCGCAATGACAGCTGCAAACCATGTCCAAACACTAGTTCACATTTAACCAGAAAACCGAATCCAAAATCATTTACTAAAAATCACGTCCTTAATAGATACTCCAAAATTCAATTGCAATTGGTGGGTAATGATCACCTTGTCAGGAAGAACCTCGATGAGAAGCTCGCTACCGACGCGATACAGACAATTCACAGCCCTGTTGAGGCTCTTAATCTGGTTTCCAGACAACATGCATTCCATTTCTTCCACCAACAAATCTCCTTCCTAACCCTAAACTATCTCCATAAATTCGCGTAAGAGCGCCCACGCAGCAAGTAGCTAGTCACTCACTTGATTCAAGCTACAGCACCACATTGTTCCAACACTGCATTCGAAGGCAAGAAGAAAATTACTACAGAAACAAAAACAAACATCAACAATTACAGTAACTAAACCGCCACAAACACTCTTCAACTAATCATTCCCTGCCTGTTGCCTTGTAACCCAGTTCAATTCTAGAGGTGGCGAGCAAACTGGATACACTCCGCAGTACCCAAAAATCGAATTCACTGACAAACAAACAAACAAACAAATGAAGCCATCACTGCAAAGAGCTTCCGACCCACAATCGCAACACCGCTTGTCGGACCGATTTAGCAAGAACCCAACAGAATGAAGCGAATTACAAGCGTTACACACACACTGGAACACCGATTGCGGCGAAAAAGGGAGGGAAAGAACGAAGACTCTTCGATCCAGTCAGTCTTCGATCCCGTCAACATGTTTCCGAATTCCGTCCATTTCGGCCTCGGAAATGGGCTGCACCACAGTTCATACAAAGTTTTGAAAAAGTTAAAAGTTGCATGTCTACTTTCGACTTTTCATCGTCGCCGCAGCATCTCGGGATGGATGAATTCCTGGTCGCATGCTAGTTGACTGCCTTCTTGGATGAGAGCTATATTGTCATTTTGAATAGAATGGTATACTTCAGCTCTATAAAGTATAGAATAAGAGTGTTTTATGAAAGTTGTCTAGAGTTGATGGGTGGTGGATTCCATACAAACTTGTGGCCAATGATTTACTATAAGTTATTTTATTTATCATAATTAAGTTATATATATATATATATATATATACATATACATATATAATTCTATGTATGTTCAACTATTGATAAAAAAAATTAATTAATAAAATCAAGATATAATTGTGAAATCATATAAATGTCTATTCTTTTAAAATTCTATATTTATAATTAAACCTTGTCAAAACATCAAATACCTTTTTATGAACTATTGCAATTCAAAAAGTGTCAAATCTTTGAAATATATATATATATATATATATATGTATATATGTATATAATGACACAAACCAAGTCTTTTTAGTACTTAGATTAAAGGTTGGGTTGCTAGAAATTGATGCATTTAAAATCCTAACATTCTTTATAAAAGGTGGACTATGAAGTATTAATATTATTAGTTACTATCAATTATTGCATAAGTAATTAAAATATATTTTAGATATTTAAAATTCTAACATATTATTTTATTTGTTTTGGTCCAAAACAACTTATAAGCCATTCACAATATATCCCAACCATATAAGAAGCCTTTTCTATTGTTCATTTGTTACTTTATTTTTCTTTGGTTACTTTTCAAAAAAAATTAATTTTATTCTTAGAGATTTTACTAAATTAGCTTTTTTTTGTGTTTATTGTTTCATGTCTCTATATTAAAAGATGATGCATTGTATTGCATCTTTTTTGTCTATAAAAATAAAATTAAATAAACCTCCTACTAGGTAACCATATTGTTTAAAAACATTTAAATCAATGATGAATTTATGTTGCAAAATAAATAAATAAAAATTCCAATGCCTTTATTGTCTCGGATTTATAGCTAATTTATAGATAATTGAAGTTGCTCAATTTCAAACTCATTTAGTATGAAGACATTTCTAAAAGCTATATAAAAATCATTTTAGAAGATAAAATCCATATAATTGACTTGGTGAAGAAATATTCTTATTGGATTATATCTTTTATATATTTACATCAAAGCACTTATGATATATTTGCTAAACAAGAATTTTTCCTTTATTTAATCTTATTTAATATAAACTATATATATATATGGAATTAAATTCTATAGAATTTTTTGTATAAGTAGGAATTTGCAACATATTTTGATTGTGTAGGTTGTTATATTAAAAAAAAATTCCTAATGGTATATATTAGGGTCAAAAATATTACTATTAATAATACCAAAAGAAATCAGATTTTCTTCATCATCTTTTTTTATGAATTTAGATTTAATGATCATTGTAACGATTTTTTACAAAACCTTGTATACAAATTACATACAAGAAATCTAAGCCCTCTAGTATGAAAGAAAGCAATTTTAATACAATATTGTCATAATGAACAAACCTTGATTGTGCCTCCATCATGTATACTTTAATTTTTTTTTTTTTTTGAAAGTATTACAAACTGTAATTAAATGGTAACAATTATAAATGAATTTTCTATTTTAAAAAAACATGTTATCAAAGAAGTTTTCTATTTATATTATAGAGTTCAATCCAATCTTTAGTTATTAAGAGTCATTACATTAAAAGTCTTCATTTGGGCTAGTCTTTATGCTTGCATTGAAACTAAGAGCCAATTTTTGTACATTTGAATAAAAGTAGTCAAGTGTATATATAATATGCTTGCTTACCTTTCCATCCTATTCTAGCTTTCACAACTTGAATATAATAAAATGTTCTTGTTTACTAAGCTAATCTAATTGCTTGTAATTATAGTTTTTACTTCTTTTCTTCATAAACATATAAATCTCTAGCTTACTATTACATCAAGTTTTATTTTTCCACAATATTAAAATTTTAATATCATTGTTGGTTCTTAAATCACTTTAATTCAAATGTTGATAAGCTTTTATTTTATTTTTTTAATTTTCTCTACCTTTAGTTTTATTTACTTACGTAGATTGAGGGTTTTGAAAGGCTTTTCTAAGTACTAGTTAAAATAACTTGTTACTAATGTTTGCAATAGGTGACTCAAAGTTAGAGTCTTCTAAGATGATTGTTTGAAACTTTACCTTTGTAAGGTAGTTGTGTCATCTTCTATGGTAGACTTCTAATATTACCCTCATTTATTAATGTTGTTCTTCTATAGAACATTGTATGATTGCTAGTAATATTTTATCTTGGTTCTAATTGGTTAGTATAAAGATTGATCTTAGAGATATTTTCTTGCAAGTAATATATTTGTTAAAGTAGTATTAAGAATCCTATTAGGATATCAATGCAACAATTTTAAGAAACTTTGTTTCTAGTATGATTCTAATTAATTTTTTATTTTGACCAACACCATATCATAATCATTTTAAATTGCTTGTTAAATATTGCTACTTTTTTCATCATTCTGTTTTGATGACTTGAATATTTTAAATTTCTTTTATGTTTATTTCCATATAATGGATTGCTTTAAGTTTCTATGTTCTTGTTCTTTCTTGTTTCAACTACCATAACCTTCGTTGGTTCATTCTCTCTTTTTTAGATATCTTTGTTATTTTTTATATCTTGTTATATCTTCTTAATTTTTATATTCTTTTATTTGTTGTGTCTTTGAAAGTTGAGACAATTAAGAAGAATTAGGCAAGCTAGTGTATGGAGTGCAATTCTTTTGTATCAAACTTTGCTCAATGATTAGCTTACCAAGTGCACATTTTCTCTATATTTCATATTCAATTATTGTTTGCTTAATCTTTGTGTCATTGCTCCAAAACCTATAGAATTCATCAAGCTCATAAGTGGTGACTAGTGTAGTAATTTTCAATCTCATTATTTAATCTATGGATTAGCTTTAATCTATGGATTAGCTTTAATCTATGGATTAGCTTTGAAAAAAGAACCTTTTTATTTAAAATAATATGAATATTTTAAAATATATAAATACATCATCAATATATAATTAATATATACATACAAATATTATTTTATTGCCATTTTATTATATTTTTAAATATACCAATCAATGAAGTAATTATAGGTATTTATTATAAATTATTCTATTAAACTAAATGTTAAAGAAATTTTAAATATTAATGCATGATAAAATTTATGTTAATTTTGATCTCAAAAAATAACTCAAAATACTATGTCAGTATAAAACATCAAAATGTTAACACAACTAAAGATATGATTTTAAAAAATTGTATTTTAGATGGTGAATTATTCTCTCCCTATCTATACTTATATAAAAATAGTAATAGTAATGATAAATAAATAATAAATAAATGAATAAACCTCTGAACCAAATACCACTTTTGATCAAAGTAAAAGAAAGTTTTCAATGAAAAAACTAGAACCAAATACTAGTTTGCAGTGATAAGAACTGTGACAAGAATTGTGATGGGTAATTATGATTTGAACCAAAAAACTCACATAGCCAAAAAAATAATAAATGCATTAAATGGTTTATATATATATATATATATATATATATATATATATATTCAATTTTTGAAAAATTACACTGATTTACCTTAAATCACACCAGTACAATGTGAAAAAACACAAGACAAATCTAAGCAAATGCTTTCACATCAAAGGTAAAATACCTCACAAACTGAATTTTTAATTCTACCTAAGTACCACCAAAGTAACTTTTTATTAAATTTTGTTGCATACTGTGACGTCCACCTAAAATTCATTTAATTTTCTGAGTTCAATAAAATCAACACTCTCTTAATTTTTGTGAAACCTAGTACTTTTTATGTCTATTGAGGCTTACGGTGTGCTTGTTTGAATGCAAAAGCCTTTAACAGGCTTAATTTTAATTGCTAATGTAAGTTGGCCAGGAAAGTCATAAATGGCCTCTCTCAAAAGGGTACTGAAAGAGGGGAAAATTTTGATACTGCTCAACCCTGTAACACTAAATCTAAAACAAAGATGGTGTCCTCCAGAGGCAATTGCAGCGCTCAATCTAGCATACCCGGAAAATGCAGAGTGATAAACCCAACAGGTTCCTCCCTACGAAAGCTATGTAGAATATTAAAAATCCTTGTCTGATTTACAGTGTGACCCTTCCGTGACGTGCTGACTACACTACGTTAAAAGAATGAACAGTTATAACTGAAGAGAACAACACTTTGTGTACACGAGTCACAATGAGACTCTTTGAGTGAACTAAGGCACAGACTTTACACTTGTGGAAATACGCCAGAGAAGTTAGGAATCTTGTTCAAGTGCTTCAAAGCCCTTTCAGCCAGCTGCTTGGCTTGACTGTTACCATACCGGAATGCGTCAACAAGAGCAGTATTGACATGTGCGTTACCAGATATTTGACTAGCCAAGTCAGCGTTGCGAAGAACTCGCTCCACCATCCACACTGCACGCTGACGCAGTACCTCAGTTCGATGCTCTTGCATGATCACCAGAATTGGTGGTATACCTCCTGCATTCTGCAGCACCTGTAAAACGAGGCATGTGTATGAGGACAATCCTCACTGTTCAACCCAGTTCTTTGAGGAATTAATAATCGAGCTTGCGAGAAACTAATTGAAAAGTTGGCTCCTCACACAAGCGTACCTAAACAAGAATGATACATATATAAAGCAAAACCAAGCATGATACATGCATTTCAGCAGCTACTGCATCATACAAGTAATAAAATTAGTCGAGACCATAATTTCAGTCTGCGCAACGCATAAGCTCATTTCAATGAAAAGGCTGATGCTTGACACAATTGAAGTATATCTTCACCTGTGATCCTCTTTCAATGTCCACGGTGTCCATGAGTAACGTCGACAGTGCTCCAATAGCTGCTTCCACAACGTCCGGATTTCTGTGGTCTAGACAAGACACCAACGGCAAGAGAGCATTGGAGTGCACCAGACAAAACGTCTCTTTGGCTGTGCATACTCCAGTGTGAACGGGGCAAATACCAAGCAACGGAGAAGGCTGCTTGAAGCAGGCAAATCTATAAATTCCTTTTGGTTGAGGAGGATCCGGAAATGTAGACAGTTGGCTCGACTTCACTGACAGGTTCTCAAGCGCCAGGGCTGCTGAGATTTGCAACTCGTCCGATCCCCCACTTTGCAAAAGTGACGTGAAAAGCTCAGTAAAGTTGTAGTTGGTAGCTAAGTCTAGGACCGCCTGCTCATCGAGAGCGTATGTGAAGCGAACCAGTATACCAACTATCCCCGTTTGGAAGGGAGTTATGTGTTTCCTGTCGCCAACTCGGGCAACTCCTCTCTTGAGGTCTTCCAAGCGTTGGATCAATAAGGCAGGAGCACCCTCGTCCAACATGGCCTGGGTGAGGTGAATGTCCTTCATGGGCAAGTTTGCGAGCAGGCCAGCAGCCACTGCTTGCTCCTCCATGGAGCAGTCTGAGGCCAGTAGTTTTATCAACGTCCCTAGCTGACGAGTCGTAACACGAAGACCGTCTGCAAGCTCTTGACCCATGTGCGGAGAAAGGAGCATCAGGAGCCTTACGGATGTCACTCGCAAATCTGAATGAGGAGCTTCCAGAAACTGAATTAGACTCACAGTTGCAGCCGCGCTTCTGATGTGTTGGACTACCTTGGTAACAGCTTTATTTGATGAGGCCAATCCAACAAGCACCTACACCGTGAATTTGATTAGTCCAACACCTTGAAACTCATTAAGGGGGTACGTTCATACAGTCTTCATGTGGAGATAAACATAACACAAAAATAGATAAGTAAATAAAAGATCATAGCAAAAAGGTGAACTGACCTGCAGAACCTTCGCCTCAATGGTTGGACCTGTGATACCTATTAATTGTAAGAAATTATGCACAGTATGCTCGGAAGTCAGAGTGTTGCCATCTTTGTCCACAGACACAGTCTCCCAATTTGCACCTGAACTAACCACGTTGGCCAGTACACTCGCCGATATCTCCTTCTGTTTCGTAGGGACTTGAGTAGCACCCAAAACAAACAAATCTCGCATCAGTGGGGCTAACACGCCTGCTTCGATCAGCAGATTTCCATTACTCGGGAGAGTAGACAAACTACAAAGAGCTTTCAGCGCTGCTGCACGCGCCATGGAGTTGTGGCTACCAAGCATCTCCACAAGTGCAAAAGCTGCTCTCTGTGCGGCTCGGCTCTTGTCTTCAGAAGTCATGGGTACTACTGACAGATCTTCCGCCATTCCAATGCGAACTTCTTCTGGTCCTGAACACAGCAGAGATACCCCAGGATTGAGAAGGGAAAGTATTCTAGATCTTAACAGCTGTTGACAAAAAATTCATCCAGTAATAGATTTATTTACAGTAAAAAACGTTAGAGATAAAAGAACACCTTCGAGTGCGTAAGATTGCATTCCAAGCAATTCAATGATTCAACAGCAAAATTTCTAGTTGGCGATTGGATTCAATACCTTCCACGAGTCGTTTAAGGAGTGGCTGAAGACGTCCATTCTCCGCCATCTGCTTCACATTGTTATCACACCGCTCCAGATTGGCAAGCGTCAGCTCCGCATGCCCAACTGCTGTCAAGTCCTCAGAGTTGCTGCTAAGTATCCCTACCAATATTAAAATTGCCCCAGTAGTAGCTCCAATCTTTTCGCAGAGTGCGTATGATTTCGATAGCTCGTAAAGTAGGGACACGGCTCCCTCTCGCTCTTTCGTGTGCTCTCGCGACAAGCACTTGACCACGCGTTGAAGATTCGTGACACCAATTGCATCCTGAAATAAGGTTATACCACCGCAGTTCAAGGAACACGTTAGATAAATTCCTTCACGAGATTCTTGTACAAATAGAAAGAAGGATTGGAATATGGAAAACGTTACCTTACAATCATCATCATTCTCAGCAAGTAGGCGAAGAGTGCTCAGGGCAAGATACCGCACTTCTTCACCATTCTTCAGAAGATCAACAATCAGTGGTATCAACCCTTCACTACGCACTTTGTGCTTATTCATCCGATTCTTCCTACACAAAGTCTGCAGGTCCGAGAGCCCAAACACGATATCAGCATCATCGCTACCGGACGTGACAATCTGCCTCACAATCTCAATGCGGGCTTGCTCGTTCCTCTGTGTCCATTCTTCAATCGTGTTGCGCAGCGCCAAGCTAGGCTTCACCGCCGTGCTCACCTCCTGACCCGTCATAGGACATAATAACCGCCGCCCGTCTTCTTTGCATTTCTGGATCCAACGCTCAATTGCTACGCGCTCGTATGTTTGTCCATTCTCTAAGGTCGCAGGGTCCTGCATCACTTGCTTCGTTAAGGGACACACAAACGCCTCATACAGTGGCTCCAAGCGCTTGTGATAAGGGTGCACAGCATTTGCTTCATCAGATTGACCAGGCTGCTCATTCGATTGCAGCCATTTGTCAAACATCCCACTAACTACACCGAACAACCGCATATCATTCGCATCTTTCGAGTCCTCTACGTCTTTCCTCAAAAGATCCAGTTCAATCCTAAAAGCAGCGGGGTTTCGTGACAGATCCTCGATCCCCACAGTGCGACCAATGTCCATGAGAATGGCTTGCTGCACACCTACGTCACTCAGTATGCTGCTATTTTCTGGCTCCAAGGTCTGGCATAGCTTGGCTTCGTTGTCCTTGTAAGGGAAAATTGCCTCCTTCATTACCAGACTTAGGTCATCAACCACTGCTTTTAATTGTTCGTCACCACGCAGAGAGGAGGATGGAATGGATGCCAAGCGGCGTCCCATTCTACGCGTGACATCTTCCAGCTGCTTCGAGATCGCACGACAGTGCAGAAGCAGGTAAATCCGGCATTTGATGGTGCAGAATGCGATGAGTTCCAGGGCCTCATCTATATCCTGTTCTAGTTCTCGCATTAGGGCTTCCAACTGGAAGATGTCTCCACCTTCTTCCAAGTCTAGGAGCACTTGCTTGATACTATCTAATATGTCTACTAAGACTTGAAAGTTTTCGTGCTCCACAACCACTTTGGCAGATGCACTCACTGCTTCCACAAGTTTGTCCACAAGAAATTGGGTCGCAGCCTCCGCCATTGGCAGCTGCAACCTGTTATCACAAGGTACAAGAGTAATATTCAGCGCCCTCACTGCATTCTAATCAAGGCATCATTTCATACGTCACCATATCACCGCAAAGCCTTACAAGCTAAAAAAGAAAAAAGAAAAAAGAAACAACAATCGAACCTATCATGTACATAATCACACATAGCCTTGGTGAGTAGCACAGAATGATTGACACTCGGCCTAATCCTTAAACAACCTCTCTAGTCCTAGGACTTCACTTCTGCAGAATAGAATGCGCTTCAGCTCCACAAGTAAGTACCCTCCAAATCTTTAGCAACCTACCGACCTCCTACTGTTGCTTACAAGTGAATAGTTTCTCTTAACCAAAAAAAAAAAAAAAAAAAAAAAAAAAACTGTCTGATTTATGTTCCAACGACCAACAAGGCATCAAGTTGTATAATCTGCCGGTCCTACGCTCCGTATAAGCAATACCCAGTTATTCAAAATTTGGTTCAAGGGTAACAAGGGCTGCAGAAGCCAGCCACCGGAATCGATTACAACACCCTCACTGACGCCACCGATGATACGTTCACCTCGAATGGCGTCCTCAAGACTGCGACTGGGTCGAAAACATCAGCCCTCAGAGTATTCACCTTTCCATAAACATCACAGCTTCATGAAGGCTCACTCGTTTCGTGACTCATAGTTTCTACCACAATGTGCAATTGGCTGGTGGTAAAAGGAGAACTCTACATGGCAGAACGTCGCGTACCTTTCTCGGAACGAAACTATGCATTAGAAAACTCACTAACCAACCCCGGAATACCGACACCACCGCTACTTGCAAAGATCACCCCACCAACAACAAACCCACGAACAACAACCAAAAGCTCGGTTTAGAACAACATACAAGTCCAACCCATCGTCCATCTCGCCGACTGCACCAGCTCCTCCTCCTCCTCCTCCACCACAACAAGAAACCCTAGCACATCTTCAACTCGATTGTGCCCGCCACCCGGTCAAAGCTATCACGCTGTCACCGTGAAGAAATCAACGTGCACCATATCGATGGAACTAGAATCATGCTCATCCCGGCGTGTCTCTAATTCCTTGTCTTTTTTCTAGTTTGTTTGTTGGTTTGTTTTTTGTTTTTTGTTTTTGTTTTTGCTAATGCGTCGATTGTTGCACACGACAAATCCTACTAGTGACGCCGTCAAGGCACTCCTATGTTGATGAGATGATCGTAGCTTCCCTGGAAGCCAATCGAAGGACGAAGACTGCAGATGTGAGAGGCGGAAGACTGGAGAATCGACGAGGAGACGTTGCAGCATGAACCGTCGGTCCCACTTGGCAGGCTGGAACGCACCCCAAGCTTTTCCCCTCTTATAAATGCCACACTTTATTTGCTTAAGATCTCCACAAACCATGCGCGCGCGAGCTAAAGACACTTAACCATAGCAAGCTCCTGAAACCCTCCAGACCCCTGTGAGCAGTGAGAAACGGATGGGTGGGAAGAAGAAGCAGAAGAAGAAGCTGTGGGGAGTGTGGATTCTGCTCTGGAATGAACAGAATCCGGACACTACGAACAGTATTAATGCGGCTGCAGCTCATCAGTGAGCTGTTTGTCCCAGCTCGTGCTTGTTGCTCTTTGCTGCCGCCCCATCCAGCTGCCGGAATGGTTCTCATTCTGCACAACTTGGAGCTGATTCCTGCCTCAGACGAAGCACAACACAGCAGTGAAGGAATAGCTTTCCCTTAATGCCGATACTCCCCGGCTAATTTTGCACGGCTCATCACGGGGATTGTTTACAGAGACTGACCAAGACATGAAGAGAGCTTGACAATGAGGATTAAGACCATTTTTACACCCTCAGCACCACCACCACTCCGCATAGATAAACGCACAAACACCATTCCTTCATATTTTATTGCCTCATGAAATAGTCTATCCAACCCAGTTGCGGAACCGCTTTAAATTCCGAGCCAGACTTAAACAGCAACCACAATCTGGTCGTGCACTCGGTGTCTAGAGATCACGTCCTTGTAACAGAAAGTGACACCTGCTCCCATCCCACTTAAAACCGCAACGTACCATAGCTTATCAGTCATTGGAAATTACACAACACATTTTCAATGCTGTCGACAATGAAGTGCCTCTGCATCGATGGGGTGATGGTTCACAAGAGCATCCCACATCATATTCGGCAAATGGTGGATTTGTGAGAGGGATGGTATAGAACAAGACTTGTCTGGTCATTTCTTAACTCATAAATCACTGTCATTGTTCTGACTATTGTATTATTTTTTTGGTTTTCTGGTTTTTTGGTTTTTTTGTTTTGTGTTATTTGGTTTCATAATGTGGGCAACAAGTTGTGTCAAAAGACCACGAGTTTCACCTGGAAATGGGTGTTTCACTTGGAGATTCCTGCTTTGATTTTTCCGCTCAGGAACAACGTAGCTCCTCTGAAGTTTCAACTCCGCCACACAGACTGGGGTCCAGGACAGTGTTGCCAGGCTTGTTGAAAACTAGACCACAAATCAAAGGAGTGAGTCACATCCATCTATCTTCAACTGTCCCCACCTTCCTTGATGATAATAATATATCTATATGTATATAGAAATGGAGAAAAAGAGGGTAAAGATAATGAGAAAGAATAGGGACCCAAGCTATTTGGGGGGGGGGGGGGGGGGTGCATTATGGAATACAATGCCTAGTGAGATTGTGTGCTTTTGATGTTGCATAATGAGAGCTGGTACAGCGAGGAATGTGTGTTTGATGGAAGCCTTTGAATTAAAAGGGGGGGTAGGAATTGGAATACTTGCCATACAAACTATCACCAACCAGGCCCAGCAAAGGGTGTCCTCATAGACACCATATGGGAAATGCTGCTGCTGCATGGCCTGACAATTTTTGAGTAGAAAAAAATATATGCTCTCTATGGGGTTCAAAACCATGTGGCCCTGACAAGCTGTGATTGCCACCAAAGGCCTTGGGAATGGCTACCACACAGGGGGTAATGTTTTGCATGCTTCTTTAACAGCATGCACGAAATGATCAGGATGCTTAGGTATATATTGCATTACAAGGAAAAAGTCATAGTTTTTTGGGGGAAGGAAAACAAAAAATAGGGAGAGAGAATATATATATATATATATATATATATATATATATAAACTAAACAAAACCAACGCAAAATTAGATTTGGGTCCTTATTATGTAGAAAGAGAAAAGAACAATAAGACTCATCCATTACCCCTCTAACTCCAACAAAGTCATTGTTAACATATGTCAAAAATAGCCATACCTCTAAAAAAACACCCACACTATATAAAATATAATTCAAATATAGCTTAGTGGATGAAAAACGAGTTATCGAAGAGGGGGAACAAAGGGAACACGTTCGGGGGACAAGGGAACGCGGAAGAAGGAGGGACGAGTGCAGCTCACCCGCTGCCCGCGAGCCGGACCCCGCAGGGCAACTCTCCCTGGCGAGAGTAGCAACGAGAGATCATCGGCGAAGCATCGCGCACACACGCCCACTCTCAAGCGCCGGTTTTCTCTACCGCATCGGCAAGCTTCGTGAAGCTCCCGTGTCCCCTTCGACAAAGTTCCTTTCTTTTCTTCAGGGTTCACACAACCCTGGTGCGTCGAAACGGGGAACAACACCAGGTTGTTGCTCGCCCAGTTCGTCTCACGGGAGCCGCGTTCTTTAGTTGCGTGCCCTTTTGGAAGAGGGAAATCGTGGAGGCAAGCCTCGAGATGTTGTTGTGATTGTGGAATTTGTTCTCGTGAAGCAGAGGAAGAAGAAGATTGGAGCCGTAGTAGGGGAGGGGCAGGAGGTGATCAGTCGTTGAGAGATTGGCATTAGCTTTTGGATTTGAAGAGATTGGCTGCCGGAAAGCTTCTTTTTGTCGTAAGGAGCTTTTTTCTCTGGTGTTTTGTAATAGTCCTTATGGTTTTCAAGCTTGGTTGCAGAAGCCACGGGTTAGCTGAGAATCGTGTGATTGGAATTTAATGATCTAGCAGAGATGGGGTCTGTGTTTGAACGGAGAGGACAGTAGAGGAAGCATTTTCTTTTCAGGGTCATGTACATGTTGGGGATGCTCGGAGGTTCTTTGGTCGATGTTTGCCCGATGCTTGTATTCTCTTCACTGACTTGTCGATTCTTTCTCAGAGATAAGCTGAGTCTAGGGCTAATACAGCTCAGTTCTTGCCGGCCTGCATACTACTTCCACTTCTTGCAGAGGATTTGGATTGTTTGTGTTTGGAGAGGCTGTGAGCGAGTCCGTGATGTGGGGTACGGGGTGTGGCGTCCATTGGAAGATTACTGACACTTCTCATCTAGCTCGGGAACCCAATTTCGAAGTGTGTTGGGGTAAAATGGAGTAATTTGGTCACGCAGCCGTTAAATTCCTAAGGACGACCAATGGCCCATTTAACTTCGCTTCTTTGTCGAGCCAGAGCTATTTCCTTGTAGTATGTCAACAACTGAAATTTCAGTCTCTCATGGTTCAAACGTATGTGCAGGGGTTTCTCAACTTGGTATTTAGAGTTGAAGATGTCATGCTTGGATAGTAGACCTGGTAGTGGATTTGGGGATTGATACGAAAGCAGGCATCCTCGATACAGGCGCTCAGGATACGTCAAGAAGTTTCGAGAACTACGACACTGTGTGAGGAATTTAGATTGACATCGGCAGCAGTTGCAGTCTTATAATTTCACCAAGTGGTAGTGGGAAATTGCAGTAGTGTTCGCAATATCTCAGCATTTTGGAACATTGTCGATATTTGAGGAGCGACACTTATTATCGAAAAGTCGTTGCTGAATAGATCAAGGTTGTCTGGAAGTTGCCTCTGAGGAGATTGGAAGGACTCTGTAGGAAGTTAAGATAGGAAATCTAGGAGAGGAATTAATACTGCTTCAATATGAGCTTTGTATTTAGAGGAGCCCGGCCCGATCTGGAGGGAGGGCTGGCAGGTTTTATGCCTGAGCGGCGTTCTGTGGTATGTTTTCCCTACCAATTTCTCTTTTCTTTTCTTTTCGTTTCTTTTTCTCTTATTAAGCAACCTGTAACTTTTGAGTTATCTAAAATATCTGGCCTTTTGGCGTCACTTGAACGCAGGGTTTGCATACATCTCATAGTTCCTTATCGTTACAGCTTTAGATTTTGATTTGCTCGTAAAGTCCACCATGCAGGTACTATAGTGTATTACGCCTACAACATGGTTGACATGTTAGGAACGTATTTGCTCAGAAAGCGCAGAGAGTATGTCTGATCCTCGTTGACATTTCATAGCTGTACTTTACTAATCAGAATTCTGCGTATGTTTTGGCAGGCTGGACATAGATTTCATGCGACTGGGCGTCCTGTCAATACCAATCCGATGGCATTTCTAATTACAGGTGATTGAGTAGCACTCCATCAGTAGTTGGTATCAAGAATATTGCTGTAAATTTTCAAACACCACACTCTGTTGGGTTGGTGATGTTGAACCTTGCGATGGATTATTGTCATTTATCCTTACAGTTTTTTCAAGACATGCTGATTCTTACAGTGTTTCATGTTATGCAGTGGCTTTGTTATTTATGATTCTCAATTCTCAACAAATGTCCCAAAACCTAATGGTGCGTCTTGTGACCCCTGTAAAATACAGCGGTTATACACTGTTTTTCATTTTCTTTCTTTGATCTTCTTTCTTGACCGTGATTCTACTTTATCGTGTTTTCTGGGACGGGAGTCCTCTGCTTCTGACATCTCTGGATGGCTTGGCAATGCATCTATTAGGAATAGAACTTACTGACTCGGGATTTGAATCATAGATCTGACTTTCCCTTTCTCTTTCTCTTGACGTGTTTTTTTGCAGCTTTGGATTGGTATGGGTGTATTTTTATTGGCTTCAAGCTTACGCATGTACTCTATATGTCACCAACTTCAATCTCAGGCGCAAGCAGCTGCAGCAGCGGCGACTACGGGTGGATTACTAAGCCACACAGAGCTCCGCCTACGTATGATCCCCACTCTATCTTTTGCCCCCAGAGGCCGGCTTCACGGTCTGCGTTTGCAGCTTGCCCTACTTGACAGGGAATTTGATGACCTAGGTGACTCCCATTTCTGGTCGTGGCTCTAGCATTCACGATATAGTAGTGCGTAGGTGGAGCCCAAGTCGTGGATAGAGCAGTTCAGGGTTGTTTTCTATTACCGGTCATGATAATACTCTGACTTATAAGTATTTGCGCAGTTATGTATCTGGCATGCATGTCAGGGTACACTCATCTCTGTTTGGTAGAAAACTTGGGTTTTTTTTAGTCTTAGATTTATCAGAAAGTGCGAACTTCATCAGCTTAACATTGGGCTTGTTACCGTATGCAGATTACGATGCTCTGAGAGCATTGGATGGAGACAACCCTCCTGGTGTCGCAGGCATGAGTGATACAGATATCAGCAGATTGCCAGTTCGTATGTACAAAGGTTCCGTCCAGAAACCGGCAGCTGATCAATCACAGCCAAGGTGAGTTCAACATTGTCAATCTTCATCAACTCACTTTTGCATCTGCTTACGTACTAGCGAGAAATTTATATATATAAATTTTTGTCCTCATGCTTGTGAAGCGCCTGTATGCAGCAGCAAAGGGGAAGATCCACCTTGTGAGGAGGTCGTAGTCGACATTGTCGATGCAAGTTTGGTAAGTACTCAAAGACAACCTCGTATCTCTAAATCAATTTTTGTTTTGAAAGCGCTTTAGCCTTGTGGTGGATGAGGTTTTTCACACTCGTAACATAGTTTTGGCTTACTATTTTAATCTTTATTCATAGTACTATTTGTGTTCCTGTGCATTATATTGTTCTTCTGACTTCAAGAACTCCGCTAGGTGCTTTGGATATGTTGGCATCCTTCTGGATAGCTCTAAACGCTCTGGTTGAAATAATGCAGGAATCAGTCGATGAAGGGAAGCAGAATGTAGTTGAGGAGGAGTTGACGTGCAGCGTGTGTTTGGAGCAAGTGGTGGATGGGGAAATAATTCGAACACTTCCATGTGTACACCAAGTGCGTATTAGCTCTTCTTTGAGTGTTGTTAATTTCCTTGCATCACGTGTGGTCCAGAAACTCAAATAAATATCTGGGTGTGCTTGAACAAAGTTGAGGAAATGTGCTTTAACAAAGTTGAATGTAAGTGTGCCGAAATGGTGCCTTCACTAACACATGGAGGTGGGGTCCTGCAGTTCCATGCCGCTTGCATCGACCAGTGGTTGAAGCAACAAGCCACTTGCCCCGTGTGTAAATTTAGGATACGTGAACCTGAAACTCCCACGGCGACTGCACTTGTTATGCGAAGTTGATTAGTCTGTCCATTCTGGAGTTAGGGTCCACGACATTTTTGTCAGTGATCTCAGAAAGAAGTGTACATTTTGAGCACAGTAAGCACCTTGGAGAGAAAACTGGGCGGTAAGTACGATATTCGGTTAGCATGGAATGAGCTGAGAATTTTGGAGGCAGTAAGTTCAGACACATTGTTTGGTGTGCAAGACTGAGTTCTTTTGCGAAAACGCTTAAATAAATAGTTAGGTTTCCATGAATTAAATGCAAGAGTTCTCATCAATTGCAATTGGAATGGTCCCGTGCCCTCAAGTGCGACTCGAAACTAGTTGACATTCATGCGAATTTGAAAAAATAATTGGGTATTGATCATCTCGTAGAATTAAGGCAGGTGCGAAACAATCTTTTGTATTAAAATTATGATGAAATCTTAACGTACAGCTATTTGTTGATAATTCCATTCGGCTCTGCATGTACTTTCTCAATTATTGGTAGTATCCTATTCCCTGAATGAAGTTGTGTTGGAATGAGTATGATCACTAGGCTTCCAGGCTTAGGGGCTCTTTCATGCACATTTACAGCAGTCTGTCTACTTACACTGATGTACTGAAAATTTTAGAAAGGAGAATGACAAATACCATTAAAGCTTCCCAAGCATTGAAGTTCTCGATCTGCGTCATAGTCTACGAAGACTAATGTGGAGGCATGCGCTGCTTGAAAGTTGTGACGATGAAATGAGGAAATTTTGGATTTGATATGTTCAGGCTTACGGTGATTAAATCAGTGCTATTTTTGCAAGCCCAGAGCTAGCAGGATGAAATTCACAAACCTCCCCTCTAGAAATGCTCTCATCATACCCTGTTTCTGAGTTGTGAAGGGAGGATACCGAAAGGCAACATCCACTCCAAGACTTTTGTTGAAGATGCTCTTGTAGTGGCTGAAAGTATTGAACGAGGCCACGCCATGATATGCTCCTGTGCCACTCTCGCCCACTCCGCCGAAGGGCAACTCGGAGACTGCGAACTGCACTATGCAGTCGTTCATCACCAATCCGCCAGAGGATGTTTCTTCGGCGAATTTCATGGCATAATCCTTCCTGGTAGAGAATAAATAGATTTCTAATGCCTTCGGCTTGTCGTTGATCAGATCCACAGCAGCATCAACATCTCAAACCTACTCCACCAAATCAATAGGAACCATTTGGTAAGAGTTACACACGATCCTGAACGGAGAAGATCCACGCTCTACCAAAGAGTTCAGTTCAGAATGAACTTACTGTGATGATGGGCAGCAAGGGGCCAAAGATTTCCTCTTCCATGATGGGGGAGCTCAGCGGAGGGTCTTTGATCAATGTCGGAGCGATGTATCTACAATGGATTATGCGATCGTTAGTAATACTTTACTTGAAACTAAAAGCCTAATGACTAATGCGTGGATGGACTGATAAAGAGATTGCAACGTCTGGGGGGGGAGGGGCACACAATGACTCCTCGTCTCGTTCACCCCCATGTATAATGTTTTCGGCTGTGCTTGGATGGTCTAGGAGCCTCGATAGCCGTTGAAAGTGGTTTTTATTTACAATTCTAGCCAAATCTTTGGTTGAGCGTGGATCTTCTCCGTAGAACTGCACAAGAGTGCTTTGGAGCTGCTTGATCTGCAACCTCAGGTGGGCTATCCTTCAGCACCCTGATTTTGAAAAAATGAGCAACTAGAACAAGAACTGCAACATATATTTTGGTTAGCGGGGGCGAAGGAGAAGAATTTGCACCAGTTTAGGTGCAAGATGTTCCTCAACCAAGATATAATCCGGAGCAATGCATGCTTGGCCGTTATTACTTGAAAATTTTCCACTCATGATCCGTCTTGATGCCACCTGGAGATCCACTGTGTCGTCGATGAAGAGCGGACACTTCCCCCCAAGCTCTAGAGTCACTGGGATTAAATGTCTGGCAGCAGCCCTCATGGTGATCCTTCCACCATAGAACTGCCTGCAGTTTCAGCAAGACGGAAACAGAATTTAACTCCACATTTGATGAATTCTCCATCACCTCCTCACCAAAGACAGTCACTCTGAGCTTTCACAAAACCTAAAAATTGGTTGTAACAACGTGAATTGCTCACCAGTGTAGAAGATCTTGTCCCATTTCTGTTCCAGCAACGCCGTAACCTCTGGCACTCAGCCTTCCACCACTTGGATGGCATTCGTGTCGAGGTACTTCGGAATCAGTCTAGCTAGGAGAGCAGAGGTGGTTGGTGTAATCTCCGACGCCTTCAGGCAAACAGCGCAACCGGCTGAGATTGCTCCAATCAGGGGATCTACCGCCAACACTGCCAAGCGATCAATCCATGGCGACGTCGAATCACCTCAGCGTTGGGCACAAAAAATCATCCACCTGCTAAACAGTAGCCGACTTTGGACGATGGTTGCGGCGTGAATTATGTGAGATTTCTTTTTGGAAATTGAAGAGCGAAAGAGTGAGTCCTTACTGAAGGGAAAATTCCATGGAGACATGATGAACACCACTCCAAGAGGCTCTGGTACTATTGATGCAGAAGCTGGCCAAGCCAGGAGAGGAACACCTTTCTGCAGCCATTGAAATATGGAAATCAGTCTCCACGTTTGATCTGTGATGCTACATTTTGTTTAATTGTCCAGTGAATTCAACAAATACGATCAACTGAAAACTGTGCGGCCGTAGAAAGGTGCCGTGGTTTACAGAAAGACAGACCACCCAGATGATGTGAAGTGAATAAATCGAAGCAACGCCTACGGAACCTCTATCCACTGCTTATATGAAAGAGACTGAATACTTTCGCGGGGGCCATCCACTTGTGCAGATTCTTGATCGAATATCTTGCAGATGCGGTGATAGTATAGATCTGCGATTACCAGCACACAGTTCACAAAAGAATGAGCTCCATGTTACAATATTGGTGTTTTGTGAAAGATGGTCGATGGACTCTGCAGATTACAGTGAGGATTTCGTGACGAATGTGGAGGAAGGTTGAGCGAACCTCCGAGAGGAAAGCTTCGTGCCTTGGCTTCCGTAGATCCGCATCGAGGGCCCAGTAGATGTCCTCTTCGTTCTCCTCCAAGAGCTTCACGATGGCATGCAGTTGCTCCAGCCTCCACTTCACCGATCTGGTGCGTCCCGTTCGAAAAGCCGCACGCAAACTGGACGCAACTTGAGAAGTATCTAGTCTCGGTACTGGATTCATTGTCGACATCAAACCACCCTCTTTCAATCAAGTTCGGGCTCCTGCAACCAACTGCGCTAACACTACACTTGCATCACGTGTGCAGAAGTTGGAGGTAAGGCTTCAGCTTCGAGGATTTGAGAAGGCTTTACGTTTCCCATACAACCCAGTTGTCCATCTGCGAAACGTTGGAAACGATGAAGTTTGTCAATAGTGGATTGTCTCAGAAACCTCACTTCGTGAACCTAGAAAACCCTGTTATTGATATCGGCCTCTGGAAAACATTGGTGACTAACTGTACAACTCTGATACCTTGCCGCTGCATACAGAATGTTCTTTGTTCTTCCCTTGGTGAGTTAACTACATCTTCGACTTTCAAGTACAAAATTTGTTTGATTTGGTGCGAGCCGCCATGACAACGAAAAGCCGTTGTGATTCATTTTAGAATCGGTTTGATTGGTTGTGTGTGCAAGCATAAGAAGTCGCAGCATTTAAGGTACAACAGAGATATCGATCTGTTTGTTTCACAGTATTCAGAACTAGATTTTGCGTGAATAAAATGAGATGAAAATATCATTATAGATCAAATAATCAAAATTTCGAATGTGCGTTTCAACAATCACATTCCCCCCATAGTTAACTTGATGGTTATTTCTTTCTTAAGAAATATACCAGTGTGGGTAAATCGTAGGCGGTCAGAGTCCTAGTCATTGAAGCAAAAGATGTGATTCATTCTATGTAGAAGTGAGTTCACAGGACATCAAGCGTTGCCGAATACTGGCGAAGTGATCGAGGGACTTATCATAAAATCGCATCAATTTTGCGTATTGCTGCAGGTAGACAATCAAAATTCTTCTACAATCTTCTACGCAGGATTAATCAAAGTGGTGTTTTAGAAACCCGTCACAGCTCTACGATGCATTCTGCATTTATAATTTGCGGATGGATCGAGTGTGTGAACCGATCATTTAAGCTACGCGACAAGGCGGATGATTACCATACGGCTTCTCAATCAAGCTTCAACAACTCTGCATGGAATCATAGTTCGATTCAGTGGATATGACCTCATTAAACTGCGAACTCTATGAAGATCATCTCACAGCGCTCACCACGAAACACCACGGAGGACATTATACTTGTTCGCGTCTATGCTTTCTACTAAGAAGCTGTGTCCTAGAATGAAAGCATGAAAAAGAACTCTAAGGATGGAAAAACCGGTGTGCCCCCCACAGTAACCAGTTGCCGAGTTCCGTGTCAACAACTAAGAAACATTACAACTGTGAGTCTCAAAAGCTGACATAACGCAAGGGTCAAACAGGCCTGATACTAAGCTCAAGCCCCGATCCCACCGCAACAAAACAATCCGACAAAGGCACGGAGCACGTCGACGCGAACCTGGAGCTCAATATCCTTGAGGACGAGTGCCAGAGAACATCGCTGTGCTCTATCGGAAGAATAGGTCAATAAATGGGAGGTCAGAAACATCAACATCACACTTTAATGAGCGAAAGGCATCGCAATGGTCTAGAAGATCCTAGGTCTTCCCTTCTCGTCAATATCTGTGAAAGATCTACCTTGCCATGCTTGCGGACAATTTACTTTTGTCCCCGAATCAACCCCCCCACTTCCGCCCACTTTATCCACACAAATATTTTGTAGGTACCTTCCCAGCTCCCGGTTCCCACCCCTTACAAAATAAAAGGAAAAACAACTGTAACCATCTCAAAAGCAAGCTAGTGTCCACACATTCAATGCTCCGCGACATAACGTAAACCCAACTCCACGTTCTACGCAATCTCCGCGTCTCCTTCTCCACACCTACAACGTGCAGCCTGTACTCTACTCTCCCACAAAGTCTGGCTCCACCAGGCACGTTTCAGACGAGGTCACGACGCCGTGAAGTCGATTCTCAGAGTGCTAGCAGTGTAAACTTCTATGGCAACAAATTCTCTTCCCGAGCCATTCAAGCTCGATAGAACGAACTACCAAACATGGGAGGTCTGAATGAAGCTTCTACTCATGAGAGAGGGAACGTGGAGATACGTCGATTTCAATGGAGGAAATCCTCTCCAGTTGCGAGAAGCCCCAAAC